ACTGTCAGTTGTGCCGCCAAATACACCGCTTCCGTCCGCCATTCTTTGATATCTTTGTGCCCGTATGCCAATGTGTGCACTCCGTCATCCGCTATCCAATGCTTTGTATCAAGGGGTGAAAATGAAATCTTATTCACATACATGCCATATATCTCGTGGCACTCGCTGCGAAGAATGTTCATTTCGTGCCAGAATTGCTTTCTCACGAAAAGCGCTTCTTTGTAGTGCTCGTGCCTAACTTCCTTTTCCACCAAATACTTTTTTACCCCTTGGCTTTCCTGATATTTTTTTGGTTTTCTTCCAAGACTGAAAACATTTTTTGCCTTATAGCAACTGCTTCCTTATTAGTCCTTCACACTCATCTTTCATCTTGCCCAGAACCTATTTATTTCTGTCACTGTAAAGCATGTAGTCTTTTGGATAGCTGCTTGTGTCATACAAACCAATGCCTTCCGCCATATATTTGTAAACGTCTTCCGTCTGGATATCTGAAAGAAGGCTGTCTGTGTCTGTGTAAATAAGCTCGTTCTTCGGCCCGTGCTTTGTTTTCAAGTAATTATAGAAAAAGTCATACATCAGAATCGTGCTGTTCTCGAGAATTGTCATACCTGTGTAAACAGGCCTGCTCGGTAGGAGCTTGCTTTTGTGCATGTGTATGCCTCCCAGGTCATCATTCCCAAATATATCATGCCTTGCAGACGAAGGGCTGGCTACCAAACGACGTATCTTGTCTGTCACCCAGCTTCGGACAATCTTCACATCGATATTGTTTCTCAAGTTCTCCATCGTTTTGCCGAACACGGAGTTGTTCATCAGTTTGTAAAAGTTACTCTCAAAATCGCTTTTTGCTTTATTCCTGAATTCAGTGTTCATCCGAATGCAGGGCTCCATCCAGCATTCTAGTTCAAACGCGATCGCTCTGTGCAGTTTTTCAAACGCATCCCTTGTTTGAGATAAAACTGCAAGTTCTTGTAATGGACCACTTTTTTTTTGTCCTCCAGCGTCAGCGCTAGCTTCTCGCTGTTCCGGGGGTCTAAATTGAAGTCTTCCATCAAACGCTTTTGGTAAACCGACATCAACTCCTTTTCAATTACCTTTTTCTCCGTCGCAAGTGGGTAGCTGTTGTGCTCTTCGTTCAGCTGTTCAGTGTACTACGAGTCCACCTCTAGAATCTATCTTTGAATTTTCTTTAATTTTCATTATTTGTTCTTCTGTGGGCATGATACGCTTCCACTTGAAACCGCTTTTTGGCAGTGGCAAGCTCATCACCCAGGCTTAAAGGCCGTTATTCGCGTCTGAGTAAGTTATGTAATTTGTTGGTTTGCTCGGGTCATATCCTTCAACCCGCGGGTTGTTCGCCTTTGCATAGCGTTTGCTCACCACTGAGATGCCTCCTCTCATTCCTCGATGAAACGGTGCATGTCCTTATCTGTCAAGAGCTAAAGCTCCACGCCTGTCTTTTTAGAGGAGCATCTCAGCTCAAGCCCGGGAAACTGTAATAATGCGCCGGATGCAGCCCTTATTTTTCCATACATACCTTTCTAAAGTTTTAGAAAACATCAGCTAACAGCATCACGTCTGTGGTTACGTACAAATCGTGATAGTCACCAAGGTTTTTGCAGCCGAATATTTCCCAAACTTTCTGCGCGTGCTTATACTCTTCTTCGGTAATGCTCTTGTCATTCAGCTTTGAGTAAAACGCCTCTTTTGCAGGTAGCTTCGTCTCACTAAACCTTCAAAAGAATCCATGTATTAGTACGGGTAAATTCCCTTCTTTAAGAGCCGCCTTCTGTTTTCTTCGTTTTTGTATCTTTTCTCTCTTATTTTGAAAGACTTGGGGTCACTGCCTTTTACAAGAGAATCCAGACTGCTAAGCAAGAAATTCTCATTATCGATGACTCTAAGATTTCCCACAGAGAATGAAACGTACTCTTCCGTGTTGTTTGGTACGCGTTTTATTTCTCCATGCACTGTCGGCATTGCCTGCATCAAAAGGTGCCCATCATAGCCTTTCAAGTTATGAAATACAACCGGTATTGGCGCCTTTTTTTGCATTCAATCTGAGCTTAAAGTTACATTCATTATGCACGGCCCCGTAGTATTTTCCTGTAATGTGACAATGGTTCTTCACTGAGTCTTTGCGGTTTTGCAGCAACAAAGGCTCGGCGCAGAACAAACATTCCTGGTTATTTGCAATCCATTGGTCTATTTCATCTCTTACTTTTCTTTCTCTTTGTGGGCCAATGAAGTTTATTTTTCGGATTGCCTCGTAATACCATCTGTTGTGGCTTTAGCCACAATATCTACCAGTGTTCATTTTTGTGTTTTCCCCACTCTTAAGGTGCCATCAAGAGCGGTTTTTTGTTTGCCAAACCCGCCCAGATTGCTGCCTCATCCCTTAAAATACATTTTTTTAAAAACACATAAACTGCGTCTTCTCCTCTGTAATTAACAGGGCCGAAAATTCTTACGAATATGTATAAGTAAACCCGCATGCCTCATACATCTCTGTTTTTACGGTAAAACTTTCTTCTTGATTTTTGGCAGATCGCAGCCGTGAATCTTTCTTAACAAAGACTCGAAGTCAGCGTATGTTACGAAAGGCGCTTTCATCTGCTTATGATATGTTTTCGAAAGACACCTTGCTCTCTCCCTCTTTTGAAAGCTCTGTTCTTGTTGGCCTTTCAACAGACCTTTGCATTCAGGTTTGTGCCTTTCAAGTAGATCCTTTGTTGTGTACCCATGCAAACAATGTTCACAGAAATGTTTACTCTCATTATGCCTGTTTTGATCATACAAGGGAGCGGTAAGCCTTTTCACATAGCTGTAGTGCTTATTTTCACCTCTCTGGATAAGCATCAAGTTTATTCGTGGAATAGTGTTGTCTTTTTCGCAGATTTTGTGAAGAGTAACATGGTCATTTTACCCAGCCAAACACATTGATTGCAAGATTTGGATTTTTCTTCTCGAGTTTATCAATTTGTCGATGCCTGTGAAATTAAGACCATCTTCTATTGGGTAACTGCTAGCTCTAGTCCTTTCCACCTTTTCTTCCTTTTTCTGCTAGGAAAAGAGCAGCACGAATCGCCCATCTCAGACACTGCTTGTCTCTGTTTTGGATGTTAATTACATGTCTTGCTTTCTTATTTTGCAACTTTTTTGGGAGAGTAAAATAGCTTCCTTTACGAAATGATTCGTATCGAGCAACATTAACAAATGCAGCCAAAATACCTCCTCTCGCCCAGCCTGAACCTCTTTGCGACCATGCGTCTCTTTCACCTTTCACTTGATCAATGAAGCGGTTGCAGGCGTCGTTTGTCATCGCTTTATTGTTTCTGCATGTTGTTAATTAGAGGATCCTCTGTTTGACATACTGTTCCATGTATTGTGTTTCATTGTTTCTGATGATTGAAAACTTAACAATAAGCCCAAATTGTGTTTGACACTCGCCAAGCTGGTGATTTCATTTTAAATCAAATCAGTAAATCTGCCGCAAATTTCAGAACATCGGCTTTGTACAGACAACGTTCTGGAACAGTCATTTTCCATACACGAAGCCATTCATTAAAATTATTTCTAAGCAATTCAAAATCCATGCCACTCTTAACCCTTACAGGCTCGAGAGGCCTCTTTTGTCTTTCGTTTTCTTTTCCGGAATTGATCCATAGAACAGTTCCAGCACGTCAGATGAGAATCTTGAAGCAGCCATTATGCTGTTTATACCAAGGCAACATATCTTTTCAAATAGAAAATAATTCTGGGACACAGGCCCCCGCGGGTTCCGGATACATTCCTAAAAGCTTCAGTTACGGGATTCCAAACCCTCACATGTACAGATACCGGGGCCTCTTGTGACACCCTCACTACTCGAAGAGCCGAGATTCTAGAAAATAATAGTTGTCCCAGAACCCCCGTTATATATGTGTGTCCAAGACAAAAGAAAATGGCTCGTGATACAAGTGCACGGTGTATAAATTAAATTGAAAATCTTGGAGGCAAACCGATGGCTACATCATAGTTTAGAAGAAACGTTGAGCGGTATGTTATTTGAGGTGATGAATTATACCACTTTGACAGGAGAACTGAATTCACGTGAATATTAGTGAACTGTAATCTTGGTGAATTGTAGCCTGTCACGCTGAACAACAATACTATTTTTCACGACAATGGGGATTACCCGCCGTTTCCAAAATAGTCCGTAAATTTCAGTTGCGATTGAGCAGAGTTTATTCGGGCTCATGAGAAAAAGAGAAAGCCTGGGAACGAGGTTGTAATACAGTCTAACAATTAAGTTTTGTTTGCCAACAAAGCGTTTTATTGTCGTGTTTATCACCGCAGTCTGCGTGTTACAAGTCTGCGTGTTAAGCTACGATGGCCTAAGAAAAAACAGGTTTGATTCAATTCCGTTACAACAGCCCTCCGGTAGGGTCAAATTTTGGATGAACAGGAACGAATTTGATTGGCTACTTGAAGAGGGTTTTCCGGGGGTTTATAGGAACAAGGGAGCATGGTCAATTTCAACTAGAGAACTGTGCAAAAAAGGCAAAGGGTGAGCAAAGTAGTAAAGCAGGGAACAAGTCAGGGAAAACTGCGGAAACAAGCGAATACCCATGCACATTTTGGAAGGGAAAAGAGAACAATGACCCCTAAACTGCCCCTTCCCCCTCCCCCGGAAGGGGGAGGGTTGAACAATAGACCCGGAGGTATAACCAAATTCGTGTTAGGTGGATTTTCGAGAATTCCGCCATGTTGAAAGAGACTTTCTTCACTTGATTTCTTCAACCATAGATTCAATATGCAGCATTGATTGTAAGGGGATGTGAATAGTAAATACGAGACTTTACGCTGAGAAGGTAAGAATGGCGTTTTCTTTGCGAGCCCGAGACATTTGGACTTTTTTAACTGCGAGACCGAGGTTTCAAAGTACTTTAAATGCAACCACGAGACGTTTAGCCATCGAACGTAGATCTATTTAATTTCCGTCTGAGTTCGTAGGCTATGAGACGTTCAGACGGTAAGGCGTTCTAATTCAGATGTCATTTGTAAAACCAAACAAAAAACTCAGGACTTCAAGACTTTCTTAGCACTGCCTAGCATTCGAGACAGCTTCATGAAAACTGCGTCAAAACTGCTAGACGCACATAACGTCAAAAACCGAGACTGCGGGATGAATCCGTGAAATTCAACAAAAATTTTAAATTTGCAAGACCCACCGTTTTTGAAGAACCATTTGCCGCCCTATTAGATTGTCATTTACTTCCATTGCCCGTTCCTCCTATTACCCATTCTTCCTATTGAATTCCTTTACTAAAATAAATTGAGCGGGGTATATTATATCGGAACCTACATTGATTAGGATGTTAGGGGATTGTGTACTTTTTTTAGGATAGTTTCAATTATTGTCTTCAAATAAAGTCTTTTTGCTCATCGATTGTAGCGGCAATTCTACGACGTGTACTGAAGGATTGTGCTGGCATAATGCTCTATGTTGCTATCGTAAGGGTCGTGTTATCCCACAATAATCTTTACATCTAAACGTCTGACAAGTCCACAACGAGACGTCGCGTCCGTCTTTTTTCAGCTTTCTTCTAATGATTGACGGTGGCTGCGCTCCGTTAGCATGAAGAGCTTCTTGTCTCGTGCACTTTGTTTCCGTTTAAATTGCCCAAGGCAGAACATATTTCGGCAAGCCGGTTGGCAATTGAAACATCCAAAACGAACACAACAGGCAAGGGTAGATATCAGCTCCCTTCGAAAACTATCATTTAGCAAGATATAGAGACACGGATTTATGGCACTGTTTGCATGTGCTAACCATAGGAAAACGAACTGAACTCCAAGTGGTAATTGTTGTCCCTGTGTTGGTCGCACGAACCACAAGTAGTGATTGACGTATGTTGGAAACCAGCACAGCGCAAACACCACGACAATAATGGCCAGCAGTCGCACAACTTTGCGCTTAGACATTTCCATAACGGCTCGATTGCTACTTGATAAATTTCCTGGGATTTTACGAAGCCACAATTTGCGACAAATTAGCACGTAAAGGACTGCCATGATGAATAGGGGGAGTGCGTACAGCAGGACGAAGAGACAAATATGGAAGATCCTGACTACATAGGGATCTGCCCCGGACGAAAAATGCAAACAAAGGTATGCGTTATGCCTTTTGTCAAAGTCAACCTCAGAGTAGAAAGCATAGGGAATCATCAACACTAGTGATAGAATCCAAATGATTGCGGACAGGAATCTTGGCTTTCGAAATAGCTTGCCTCTTAGGGGATAGAATACCACGTAAAATCTGTCAATCGAAATAATCAACATCGTTAGAACCGTCGCTGCTATAGAAACGGGCATAACGTATAACAAAGCTTTGCACGTGACAGTACCCATTGCTCCTCCCGGCCAAACAGCTCCACGGTAAAAAAAGACAACCTGATAGGGCATCAGCGTCAATGTCAATAGCAGGTCTGCAACGGCCATATTGGCGATAAATAAGTTTGTGACTCTGCTGGACGAAGACCTCTTAAACACTAGGAACAAACCAAAGGAGTTGCCAAACAGTGCAATGATGAAAATCACTGCATATGCTGATGTCATGCCAATCTTCATCTCCGTTAGATTGAAGGAGTTCGAAAGGGTGGAGTTTGGTCCCTGTGTAACACTTGTTCCTAAGAGAAGAGGAAAATTTATCAAACATTTAGAAATACAATTGATTACAAATATAAGCGAAAGTAAACTGCAGGTGGACTCAATTCGTGCGAAAGTGTTCATTTAATTCTATTCCACATATTTAACTGTTAGCACCTAAGAACTTTTACCAGGATTAAGCGGTGTTACACTTTAATATATTCTTACACCTTTCACACTATAAATTAACATCTCGACCGTTATTATCTTTTCTCTACTTGATAATGGCGGAGTCAAGATGACTTCGAAACGTCCTAGTTTACATTCGCTTCTTTTCGTAAAATTGATCAGTACCAGTGTACTCGAATCAACTCTGTTCGAAAAACGTTTGCCATTGTTGTGCAATTTTCAAAAAGTTTCCTTACTCATGCTCATCCTGGCTGGTTAATTTGAGAAAAGAAACTTTAAAGCGCTTTGCGCATGCTGCTCATGTCAAGAATAGCAGAATCACTAAAACGATAGAGAAAATCAGTCGTAGTCTGGCTTTTAATTGAAAAGCTACTAAGAATACAAAGCGCTTGCATTTTGTCCTGAAATGTTAGTCCTACTTATGCATTAATATCAATACATAATTAAGCAGACAGGTACAGATGATAGAATATATCATTAACATAGGATTTCCTTTACGTATGCTGCCAAATTACAAACAAAGCACCACAAAAAGTTTATACCTAATTGCAGACTTCGTAATGAAAGAGCTATAACTAGTAAGAACGTTGTTACCATTTGTGTTTTTCATGCTTGCAAGAGCTGGCATCTAGGATGACTAGGATCCTGCGGGATTCAAAGTGAGGAGGGGTTACATAAACAATTAATTTTATATGGGAACGTTTAAAACACGCGAATTTGATTTTACAGTAAGCATCTTTGGGGCAACGTAGTGTACAGGTAGCGTAGTTCAATTATTCCATTGCCTCAGCATACAAAGAGAGTTTCCGCCGATAATTCTCTAGTGAATTCGTAGTAAAAACATAAAACGAAACAATATTAATCAATCCCTTTAATTTCATAATAACAAATGGCTGGGCCAAATGACCAATTTTGAAGCACGTCTGCTTCAAAGGCCATGAAATGATAAGTTTATATATTTCACTCTGTCTTTAATCCTCCTTTTCTACAGAACAATCGCGTTTATAAAATACTCATCCACACTTTTCACAGCGTCCAGATGAGTTCAGTTTGATGATACAAAACAGTCCTCGAACGTGACTCTCCAACAAACGCAAACTGGCACAGACCGCAGTAACAATAAGCTCAAAACATTGCAAATTTCCTATCATATTTGGGAACGGATCACAGGTACAGCAGAATTTCAAAAGAACCATAATAAGATTTTATCTTGTTTGGTCCATATTGGGAAATATTCTTGCAAGTTTATGGTCCTCGCCAGCATCTCCGGCCATCCATCAACTTGCCAAAAAAGAAAGTCTACTAATATTTTCGCAATATGGCAACAACAGCTCCAATTAGGTTTTGAAGAGGCAAAGAAAGGCACTGATTTATGGCGCGTTCAATCAAACCGTGTGGACCTCGTGTAAGAAACTAGACTGATCTTGTAAGTTAACTTTTCAAACTTGCAATTCACATTTCGCGAAATGTCTTCGTACTTCTTTTGAACCACGCAAAGAAGGTCAGTTACTTCTATTGTCATATACAAACAACTAAAAATTAACAATTTGTAACTGTGGTAATGTATTTGCATGCGATCCATTCAACCATCTCCAAATTTATTTTCCATCGATTTTTGAACAAGAGATGTGGAGAATCAATCGCACACTTTTGAATTTCATCAACATCGAATTTAACCAGACGGACGATTGATCATTTATATCTGTCTTTGAGTGTAATATTTTGTTTAATTCAAATGGCCATAGCCGAGAGCGTTTATTTATTTTACTTCTTTCACTTTGTATTTGCCTTATTGTGCAAAAAGGGCTTCGAAAATGAGCTTATCAAAAATCTGATCGAGGGAGATTTTGAGACTGTCTAAAAGGCAAAAAGAAGGCTTCCACTAAGTTGCGAACTGATTCATTTTTGGTGGGCTTGTGATGATGCCTACGATCATTGATACATATTCACTCGCAATGTTTTAACGTGAGAGCAGCTGAGAGCCGTGAACACAAACCGAGAAATGGTATTATGAAATAGATATTGGTTACAAATAGATAATATGCCTCGATTCATATTGAGTAGCCGACGCCTGCAGCTAGCTGTAATTTTTGAAAAAAAACAAATTTTCATCGTTATGTCTTTCTCAGGGATTCCGTGATAACGAAGTCATAGTAGTATTTAGATGTGACGTTAGCAGTTGATATTTGTATCAAAAACAACTCCCAACTCATTCTTCCCCTATTTAAAACAGTCCTAAAGCTACCTTCAGTTACGTTAACACTGGCGATGACTGAACGCTTTGGCGAACCCAGTTCAAAGGACACTCACCTTCGAATAACGCTATTCTTCACAGTGGAATTAATTTAACTTTAACCATACAAGTTGACATCTTCGATTCTTTTCCAATACAGCTGTTCTCAGTGTGTCACTTCTGGATTAAACTAGCCAGTGGTGAGGCTGTGTGTGAGACTAAAGCAAGCCGTGTTTGGATCTGCAATGAGAATTATCAAAATAAAATTGAGACACAATTTCCTTTCTAATTGGCTCTTGCCCAGGATCAGTAAATGTATAGATCATATTCACGTGATGCCACATTACCTGACATATTGACATATGGACTTTTAAACCTATAATTGAATGCAAAACAAAGGCTACATCTATAGCCACCGTTCTCTTTTAATGATTCTTTTGATTTCTGAGTATAATATACACAGCCAATATATTATATCATTTTTGAGTATGTTGAAGTGGGTCAGGCATTCTGCCTCGATAGACTGATCGACTCCTCCTGTAATTCAGTGTGATTTGTTCAGTAGACAGGTTTTACATTAACACAGCGACAATTAAAAATTCAAAAAATCGAAGCCCTCAACATAGCTGCTGATGACCAATGGCTTAGCTGAGTAGTGTTACTAATTATTAGAGAACAAGGCCACTCAACTTGGTCTTCGTCAGTTCTTGCTAACATAAGGTGAGACATTCTCAGAGAAATGGTTAACTATTTCCTTCAACGACTATCATTTATACTGAAAAAGAGGTTCCCATAACTTCACGTTGTCAGACAAATTTTTCAAATTTGCAACCGGTTTTAGAGCGGCGCTGCTTATACGAAAATAAAACAATCATATTACTTTCTTTGAAGGAAAAGATTGTTTTAAGATCGAAATCCTGCCTGTGTAGAGATAAGACACTAGAGAGCTTTTAAGATTTTCTTCAAAGGTGGCAAGCTCAAAAGCTTCAACAAGGAACTGAATTGCATTTTACGTTTAAAGTCGGAAAGATTCGCGATAAAAGTTCAGTCGCACAACTTTCCCGGCAAAAGCGTAAATTTTCGTGGTTTTCAATTTTTCAACTTAGTATACCCCCTTTTTTAGAAGAATATCAGGTTTGAATGCCTGCAGGCTGGCTCCAAACACCATCCAGAAACAATACATTCGAAAATAGAAATGCCGTGCGCTATAATCTAAGAGTGTTAATTTACACATTTTCAACTTTGTATTTATAATTGATTCTAGAATGTGCCTTACTGAATATTTGGCATCGTAGTTACATCGAAGCAGGAAATTGATGCCTCCGTGTTTGTTAAAAAAATAGTCCGGTACTACTTTACAAGTGCAGTTACCTCTAAAGAGAAGTCTTTTCATTCATGTAAGTCTGAGCGATTTTATCGTAAGTTCGATGTCAACCATCCGAAAGCATCCCGTGGAAAGGTCTTGGTACATACTAGTCCGTTTTATTTTGTCCTTCTTATTTTTCCAAAGGAAACGAAACATTTTATCTTTTACCATTGGCACTATTTCCGTAGGGACCTTAACATTTGAAATTGAGTATATTAAGTTAGACAACCCCAGAGATCGATTTAATTATTAGTGCTATTCTATAGAGTGTTAATCCCCTCGATTTCCAAATGTCTAAATTTGTCTGCCGTTTTTGTAATTTCAAATTAAAGTTCATCTGGTTATTACCTTTTTCGTCATAGGAGACATAGATTCCTAATAATTTTGTGGGAGTATTCATCCATTTCACCCCTAGCGGTTTGGTTCTATTATTCTATTATTCTTTTATTATTATTATTCCAGAATGTTTTTGTTTTCTCTACGTTAAGCACCTATCCAGAGAAATTCCCAAAAGCGCTCATAGTTTCCAGGGCTTGTTCAACAGAAGCCACTTCAGCACAGAATACGTTGGCTCGTCTACAAATGGCTTTAAGTTTGATCTTTGAGCCAAAAATTCTGATTCCTTTTATGATTGAGTTTTGCGTTATTTTGTTTGATAGTATTTCTGCTGTCAGGATAAACAGATAAGGCGAGAGTGGGCATCCTTGTGTAACTCCTCTAGAGGGCTTAAACCAGTCCGTTGCAAAACCGTTGTTCAAAGCTGGGCTTTCTATGTCCATGTAGAAGATCTCGATCCATTTTCTTAAGCAGTCACCAAAATTAATTTTTTGAGAGCACTTTGAATACAAGACTGTTCCAGGGAGTCAAAAGCTTTCTTAAAATCAACTGATATTAATATATCTGGAGTGTTGTTCACCTGAGTTTGCTCCATAATATCACTTATTAATCTTACATTTTCTCCAATATATCTTCCTTTTATGAAGCCCGTTTGGTCCGGAT